ACAAAACCTGCCCTCATGAAGCTTACAAAGCAGGCAATAAATATAGCACATACCGCCAGATATCGCTCAGAGTAAGGGCAGACAGTGACTATCCCTGAGGAGTGACACTGGAACAGAATGTAGCAAAGAGCTAGCCACGAAGCTGGCTCTGGGAAGAGCATTCCTGGTGGAGGGGCTGGCAAGTGCAAAGGCCCTGAGGCAGGAATATGCTGGGGTGTTTGAGGCCAGCAAGGAGGCCATTGTGGCTGGAGTGGAATGAGGGATGGGAGTGTGGTCACCAACACCTCAAATGCAACCCAACTGCCTTAGTTCCCCTCTCAGTGCTGGTATCTCCATCCACCCAGGTCACCTGCACCCACTACTTCCGAAGGCTGTCTTCTGCCCACCTCCCATGTCCTGTCAACCACCTAGTCCCATTTTACCACCGAAGCATTTCCTCCCTCTACCACTCTCATCCCTCCAGGCACTGACCAGGGTCAGCCTTGTCACCAGTGGCCGGAATTGCTCCCACAGCTTCTCTGCTCCCTGCAATTCCAGTCCAAATGGCTCACTCGCTGGCTTGAGATCCTTCACTCCCATTGCCTTCTCGGTCAAGTCCAGCTCCTGAACCGGCCCTAGCCTGAGCCCATCCCAGCCTCTCCAACTCATTTCTTCCAACATTCCAACCAAAATGGTTAAAGCACAGAGCTGGTGACAGTTTCTGGTCACATGAAGCTATTTATCACCTCTGTGTCCCAGCTGGCTAACTCCTTCCCTTACACCTAATTTAGCTGGGACCTGGGACACCTCTTCCAGGAAGCCTTCTGAAATTTGTCCCAGGCCTGGTTAAATGCCCTGAGCTCCCATAGACCCAAGACTTAGTCACAGCTTTTCCCAGCTTGTACCCCAGTCAGCATCCTTCAGTCAGTCTCCCTGATGGTGCAAAGCACATGTCAGCAAGGATCAGACCCCACAGCAGGGGTTCTCACCTGGGGGCAGTTTCTCCCCCCAGGGGACATTTGGCAATGTCTGCAGACATATTAGTTTGTCACAGCTGAGGGGAAGGTGCAACTAGCATCTAGGGGCAGAAGCCAGGGATGCTACTAAAACCCTACAATGCACAGGACAGCCCCTCACGACAAAAGAATCCCTGGGCCCAAAATGTCACTTGTGCCATAGCTGAACTGTGAGCCCCTGAGGACAACCTCAAGCCCCATCATCAAAGATACAACTCCAAGCGGGCATTTTATAAATGTGGGGCCACTGCTACAGTTGTCAAAATGAAGGCAATCCTGTTGGCATTTGGTAGTCAGGGGCTAGAAATGCCAAGATGCCCTCCTACAACACGCACCACACGTGGGGGCACCTGGCTGCCTCAGTTAGAGCATGTGACTCTTGATTTGGGTTTTTTTTTTTTAATGTTCATTTATTTTTGAGAGAGAGCTTGCTCGTGTGCACAAGTGGGGGAAGGGGAGAGAGAGAGGGAGAGAGAGCATGGGGGAGGTGCAGAGAGATCTGTGCTGACAGCAGAGAACCTGAGGCAAAGCTTGAACTCACGAACTGTGAGATGATGACCTGTGCCAAAGTCGGATGCTCAACCAACGAAGCCACCCAGGCACCCCTGATTTCAAGATTGTGACTTGGAGGTTGTGACTTAGAGCCCCAAGTTGGGTGTAGAGATTACTTTTTTTAAAAAGGGAGACAGAAAAGAAATTTCACACATGACTTTAGAATGACCCACTGGATGGTCACATAGTGAAAAGCCTCTCCATAACTACCTGAGCCCGAAACCTGATTCTGTTTCACAAGTAAAACCTTAGGGTTGTGGTTGGGGATTTTGTGTGTGTGTGTGTGTGTGTGTGTGTGTGTGTGGTTTTATTATACATTGGCAGCTTTTATTTCAACATTACTCATACTCTTTAAGTTTCCTGGGCTTCTTAGGGCGCCTGGGTGGCTCAGTTAAGCATCTGACTTTGGCTCAGGTCATGATCTCACGGTTCGTGAGTTCAAGCTCTGCTTCCGGCTCTGCATTGGCACCGTGGAGCCTGCTTGGGATTCTGTCTTCCACGTTCTTTGCCCTTCCCCCGCTTGCTATCTCTGTCTCAAAATAAATAAAAACTTTACAGAAGAAAAAAAAGTAGAAGGAATCGAAGGACAATGTTCTATCTGCTATGCAGTTGTGTCCAAGTATTAACGTACTGAAATTCATAGTCCTTCCCCTTCATTTCTCCTTTACAATACAGCGTGATAGCATAGTGATTTTTGTAAATCACGTGGATAGGTATGTTATGTTAAACTTCTGTCAGATTCAGGAAGAAAATGTTAGAAAATATTTGCTGGAGGAAGAGAACCTTGGCCTCCACGTGCACGGTGACGGCCCAGATGGCCAGATAAGTAGGGGGCTGCCGCCACCTGGTGGCTGAAGTAGAAATGGCAGGCAGACTCCCACGGAAGGAACTCTTTCTGCCCAGGAATCTCTTCCTGTCCAGGGGCCCTAACCCACCCCAGACACAGCTTCCACTGCCACCTCCCTGGAACCCTCAGACCTCAGTGCTCGATGCTTCTTTGGGGGCAAGATTCCAGGAAAGACCTCTGGGTGAGAGGTGGGAGCCCTGAGTACTGGTCCCCCATCAGCCGTGAATTCGCTGTGATCCTGGGCAAGGGCACTGCTCTCTCTGGGCCTTGATGTGCAGAGTGTGAAGCGTGGACAAACTTGGTCTCTGATGATCCTACAGGACTGCCACACTTGATCCTCTCAACCAGGAGCATCCATGGTCTCTTGCAACCTGTCCTCTGTGCCTCCTGCCTACAGAGTGACTTTAGGGGTAGGCAGGGGAAGGCAGGACAGTCCTTCTCGGAAGCACAGGGATGGATGGACTAGTTTTCTAATCTTCCATCCGAATCTATGTTCTTGTTAGCTTGCCAGGAGCTCCTGACCCAAGTGCCCATGCCAACTGCCACCTCTGAAGGTCAAGTGCAAATTAGAGCTCCTCTGCCACTTAGAGACCCTCAGACCCAACCTCTGGCTTCCAGGGGCTCAGGACTCTGCAGGCAGGAGCTGGCTTCCTCCTTCAGACTGAGATTGCCAGAGAACTGGGGCTGGCTTCCTCCCTCAAACTGGGGACTCCCTGCAGGTGGGAACCGTTTCTCCTCTGCCCTCCCCACCTTCAGACTGGAGCTCCCTGACACGGGCTGTGTGGACCCCTAGACAGAGGGCCTCCCAAGGGCAGGCCTATCTTGCTCCACCAAAGACCCCAGCACAGCAAGGCAGGCTCCGAAGGCAGCTTGCCCTCTGGTGCTCATACCTGGCCCCCATCCCCAGTCCCTGCCCACACACCAAGAGAAGGCAGCGAGGCAGTGAGACTCTGAGGCATGTGTAGAATAAATATAACTTTATTCTTTATCCAGTAGATCTCAGTGGAAAGTCCAACAGTAACAGGTGCACCAGCGGGCTCTGGGGGGATGAGACCCCAACCCCGGGGCAAGGAGGGCAGGGCAGAGCCAGCTCCCCCAGCCGGGGGGTGCAGGGGGTGAGGGGAGGGGACCCCCTGTAGGCCCGTCCTGCGGGGCAAGGAGGGGGCACGGGTATGGGTGAGGGTGGGGCAGGCCAGGGAAATGGAGGAACTCGGGCCAAGTGTGTCTGTCCGCCCATCCGCTGTGTGTGTGTGTGTGTGTGTGTGTGTACATGTGTGTGTGTCTGGGGGCCCTGTGGGCAGTGCTGGTGGCTGTGAGGCTGGGGGACGGGGCAGCTTGAACCCCTCGGCCAGCCCCTTCGCAGTGGGGGCTGGAGGGCTTCGATGATGTGAGCCCTGATGGGGAGGCAGCTCTGCCAAGGCCACAGGGTGGAGACACACACACGTGGATGTTCTGAGGACCCCCCCCCCCACTGCTTTGCCCCTGCCCTGTCTCTCCTGGTGAGCCCCCTCCTTCTAGGGGCTGCCGGAAACGGTCCACGCCCAGTGGTTAGGCAGAGGGAGAAGGGGAGGGCAGATCTTGGAAAGTTAGTACTTCACAGTTTTAAAGAGAAAACTGAGGAGAAAATGGCTGGGGAGGAGGGCTAGGGGGTGCAGGGACATGGAGAGAGAGTGGGAGCCCCTTCTGAGCCGCTCCCCTCTCCCAGGACCCACCCCCCTCCAGCTCTGGATCCAGCTCCCCCCAATACACAGCACAGATTCCTTCAGTATAAATGTGCTTAAAATGAAAATTCTTATTAAAAAAATCAAAACCAAAAAAAAATTAAAATAAAAACAAAACCAGCGAGAATTAATACCTGGGGGTTGGTATGGCAGGGTATGTACAGGGGGAACCCCCCACCCCTGGCCCACCCCCTCTGTCACCAACCTAGGCAGGGGGGGGGGTTCCCGACCGGGGGGCAATGGCTTGCGGGTTCTGAGTATGGGGGAGCCAGGTCCTGGCGTTTGCTGGTGATGAAGATGTGGCAAGGGGGGCAGAGGGCTGTCTTGATGAACACCAGGCCCCCAGGCTCCATCCTGAGGCCCAGGACCAGGGGTCCTCACTCAGTTCATGACCTTGCCCCTGACATCAGCCCAGGCTGCAGGAGCAGGCAGTCCATCTGCACCTGGGCCTCCATCTGAAGAGTCGCCGCCTCCTCCCTCCTGTCCCCCAGGAAAGGGAGGACAGGTGGGGGGCAGGGCTGGTGGGGGTCGCATGGTTGGTAGAAAGGCAGAGAAAAGCCAGGGCGTGGGGTGAGGGCTGTGTCCACGGGGCACGGGCGGTCACGGGGAGTGGGCGGCCGGGCTGCTTCTGTTTGAGCTGGGGCTGAGGCTGGGGCTACAGCTACCGGGGGCGGGGGCCAGGCCGCCCCCATCCCGCCCCCCGCTCCCTGGCTGTCCGCTCAGAGTGTCCAGGCCCTCGGAGTTCTCTAGCATTTCCTGGATGAGAGGTGGCATGGAGCCCGGGATCTCCATCTTCAGCGTGATCACCCGCTCAGCCCCTGCAGGAAAGGAGGAGCAGAGGTCAGCACCCTGGCCCCTGGCCCCCGGCCCCCGGCCCCCAGCCCCACAAAGCTCCAGGAGGGAGGGTGCAGGGGTGGGAGGACTGGTACTACCAGTATCAGCATCCAGTGTGGACCGAACTCAGGGCTCAGCTCTTTGACATAAGCCAGCTCTCCCAAGCCCCCAGGTCTAGGGGCAGCAGTGTTTCCAAACTCAGGCTCCAGGGTCAGACTGCCTGGGGTGGACACTGGGCCCCTTCCTAGGTGCTGTGTGTTATGAATTCTCCTACTGACACCTCAAAACAACTCTGTAAACACCATCATTAATTATCCCCAGGGAAACTGAGGCTCAGAGCTGTTAAGTGACCTGCTCAAGAACACACACCCACAGGGTCTGGAGGCAGAGCCATGCCCTCAACCACCACGCAGAGGTGACGCTGCCACCTTAGAGCTCACAGGCAGGTCACCTGGGCACGGTGAAGTCCAGGTGAGTGGAGTGGGGCATCGTCCTGGGCACAAAGACGTGGCGTGTTGGCTCACACGTGGGGGGCCGGACTCTGGGCATGGGCCAGGTGTCGGGGTCCAGCCCTGGCAGACACACAAGGCATCCTTCCAGGTGCGGGAGCCTCACCCTTAGCACTGATGCTTCGCAGGTCCGTGATCTTCATCAGCATCTTGGGGAACATGTGGGGGCGGCTGGGCCTCCGTTTCCGCACATAGACCTTCAGCGCCTCCAGCAGCGGCTCCTGAAGCATGTCCACCCTGTCTGGCTGCTCCAGGTCCTGCCGGTCTGAGGAAGCAGATGCCCCCTGAGCAGCTGCCCCGGAGAAGCAAGGAACACAGCCGCGCTCCCAGCCTTGGCCACGGGAGGGCGCGCTTGTCCAGGCCACAGGCTAAGCGTCTCTGCTCCTGGGACCTTCCCCTACAAGGGCAGTGGCTGGAGCCTGTGCGGCTGTGAGAAAGGCTCCAAGAGGCTCTTAAATGCGAGAAGAACTGAGGTGGGGCTTGTCCAGGGCCCCCTCTGACAGCCCAATTTATAGGGATGTGTCCCCTGAACACGGGCGGTGCCGTCCTCAGGCAGAGGGAGGATGCCCAGGTAGGTCTCACTCCCACCCATCATTGTGGACACCAGCACAGTATGTCAAAACTCTTAACAATAAAATAATAACACCAGCCAACATTTACTGGGCCTTACTGTAGTCACACTGCGCCTTATTTATTACTCTCTTAATCCCCCCATCAACTTTATGAGGTGGAGACCATTACTGCCCCATTTTAAAGAAACGGGGGCTCAGTGAAATTCAGCAACTGCTCAAGGTCACAAGCTGGCCAGGATTTGAACCTGGGTGGTCTGACCTTCAAGCCTTCACTCTTAAGCCCCCTAAGAGTGAGAACCAGAGTTCAGGTCTCCACTGCCACTCCCTTGCTTGTGTGACCGCAGACCAAATCCTGCCCCTCTGGGTTCTCAGTCTGCCCCTTTGAGAGGGGCCTGACAGAGGCCAAGGTCCCTTTCTGATCTGGCCCTAGGCTTCTCCCTGGGAAGAGACTCCGGGGGCTGCCCCACCACCCACCCTGGGCCTGACCCCCGCAGTCCCAGGCCCCCTGCCCACCTCCACAGATAAGACAGATGGCACTGAGAAGACCAGTCTCAGCATCATCCATCTCCAGGGGCAGCAGCTGGTTGGCAAATGCGAAGACCAGATCCGTGAGGGGGCCGAAGCCAGCATTGTGCATCTGGGTCCGGTTCAGGGTCAGCCCATCTGAGAAGGTCATTGTGTCCTGCTCGGGCGTGTACCGCGTGCAGATCCGCAGGATCTGGGTACAGAGGATGCACAGGTTCAGGGACTTGACCCATCCTTCCAGCACTTCCAGTACCAGCATCCCCCACAGGACCACCTGGCAGGTGGCAAACCTGTCTGTCGGACAGAACCTTCTAGAATCTTCTGCAATGATGGAAATGGCCTAGGTCTGCACTGTGCAAGTAGTAGCCACCAGCTACAATGTAGCCATTGGGCACTTGAAATGTGGTTAGTGAGACTAAAGAACTGAACGAAGTTTAATTTTAATTAAATTTAAAGAGCCACACACAGCAAGCAGCTACTGTAACAGACAGTGCAGATCTAGATCAGCTGATCTCCATCCACAAGAGAATTTAGAGGGAAACTAGAATTTTCAGGAGGCAAGGACCATAGCAGGTTTATGTCTACAGATCCTGGGACTGGGTACACAACAGAATTCCATAAATGTGTATCAGCTCCAACCATTCCAAACCCCGATCCAGATTTGAAACTCTTAAATCTGGGGCACGGGGACAGGAGACTACCCAGAGATGCCATAATCTGCTCCTCCTGCCCCACCCCCACCAGGAAGCTGTAAGCCTTGTCACCTCCCAGGTTCCCCTACCCTGGAAGTGGCCAAGAGGGGACAGGTGAGCAGAGCCCATCAGGGATGACAAGGAGGAGAATTCTTTCAGCCTTGGCTTTGACAGTCCCCATCACACACATCCTGCCTCCAGCCTAGTCACCCTCTGCCCCACCAAATGCCCTGTAGTCTCCTGAACCCAGCTGGTCTCACACTCTCTTGGGCCTTTCATACCCTGCTCCTAAGTTAGGGCCCTCTCACATGCCCCTTCTACACAACCCCAAGATGCCCCCTCCTCTGGACGCCTTCCCTGGGGCCCAGCAGCCCTGACTCTCTCTCCCAAAAGGGAAGGGACAGCCCTCCCCCATCTCCAGCCAGCACTCGGCATGGTTTTATAACCTCTGTTTACATATCTGCTGCCTCCACCCACAGAAGGTTCTCAAGAGAGGGGCTGGTGTTGTGTTCACCTCTGTTCCTGAAACCCAGCTCAAGGCCTGGCCACACAGGGTCCTACGTGAAACTTTATTAGACTGAAGACATGGGCAGATGGGTGGTGGGGTGAAAGGTTCAGTGGAAAGATCAGGTACGCGTGGATGGATGCGTGTCTAGGTGAATCGGTGAAGCATGGCACATCCAGATGCTGAGTGGCTAAGTGGACAGGTGGACACATGGGGGAAAGGAAGGGTGGACACCGGGTGGTGGGCATTTGGATAGATGGATTCCAGATGTGTGTTTGGGAGGGTGGTTATTTGAGTGGCAGGACCTTCTCCAAGGACTCGGGGGCAGTGCCCGGGTGGGCAGGGTGCAGACCCTCACCAGGATGTCCAGGCAGGCAGCCTTGAGGAGGGTGATCTGGTCGGCAATGGTGAGGGTGGTAAAGCCGGGCAGTTGCTTGGCGAACTCCACAGTCTTAATGATGCACTTGGTGGAGAGTTCACTGAACTTGTCCCAGAGGTCAATGTCCAGAGAGACACGTTGCTCTGAGCTGTTGTTCTGGGAGGGACGGGGGACAGTGAGGGCCTTCTCCTCATGTACCCCTTCTCAGCCTGGCTCCACTGCCCCCACAGGCCTGCCCTCCACCCACTTCACTTCCTGAGAGCCCCGGAATCAGGAGGCAGCGGGAGGAAGGAGAAGAGGGGAAGGGAGGACATGGAGGCCCAGGCAGGGGTGAGGAGGGGCAAGATGGGCCCCATGGCACTGGGTGCACCCCACCCTGCCAGGCCGGGGGAAACCATACCGTAGTGTATTTGCCCAGCTGGCAGAGGGCGGGGAAGGTCTCCTGGTGCGCTTTGCGCACCTTCTCGATGAGCTCCCCAACCTCGGGCGTCAGCGTGTAGCTCTCCGAGCACTCAGGCTTGGGCGCCTCCTTCTTCTTCTTGTTTCTGTCGTTCCTCACAGCTGTGGAGGGCAGAGGCCGGGGTTACAGCAGGTGAGGGTAGTGGCCCATTCCTGCCTGAGCTCCTCCCACCAGACAGAACCACTGGCTGCCAAGGAAGTCACCCAGCCAGGCCCGGCGCAGGCGCACAGGAGCGCACTCACGGGAGTGCACGTGTGAATGCGCACATACGAGTGCACAGGCAGGTAAGGTGTCAGCACACGGCCCACCCCTCCACACCCACCTGACCCACACGCCAAGTCCTGCCCCAGCACGTGACCACAGCGCACACACCCCTTGGCCAGCCTGTGTCCCCTGTACTCCTACACAGCCACACCAGCCCACACTCCAAGTGTGCAGGTGTCCAGGGCTGAAAGCAAGTGTGCAGAGAGTCCCAGCTCCGTGCTCTGCCTCCCCCACCCCCTACTCCCTCTGCTTCCAGGAAGGACTGGTTCCTGCCTCCACGGCCCCCAGCCCCCCTGCCAGCAGTCTCCCTGGGGGTCCCAGGGACTGGCTCTGAGCAGCTCCCCAGCCTGAAAGTGGGGGCCCGGCGGGAGAATCTCTCGGCCCATTAGCCGGGGGGAGCTGACAAATCACCAGGGGCGCTGAGCCGCACACACCACTCGGCTTTAAAGAAGCGATGGGGTCGTTACCAGCCGATTATCCCAGACACACAATCACTCACAGGGCCAGTGGTGGCGCGGCTGCTGACGCTGGAGGAAGAGAGGGGGGTGGGGGTTGGGGGCCCAGGGAGGGGGCAGCGGGTGGGGGTGGGGGGAGCTGGCATAATTTGGAGATCACTCATGTCGAT